TTGATCTCTATTGTTTTACTGTAATAAATCATAACCATTAAGTGTAACAGTTCTGAGTTCTGTAAGTCCATCTGTAAATGCCTGAAACTGAGGGAGGTTTTGGGGACCTCCCAATAAAATTCTTTACATATTTATATATACCTGCAGGATTCTGTGCACCAAAGAATATACCATATTTTATGGATGGTTTAAGAAGTTTTTCAGGGTAATTGGCTACACTATACTTGAATTTTGCATTATATTCTATTTTTAGAAACCAGTTCTTATCAGCTGCAGTTTCACTATTGAACATCTTTTTAAATGTTTATTGGCCATCTGACTTTTTCCCTCTAAATTGTCTGTTCATGGTCTTTTTCTTCACTGAGCTGTTCTTGAATTGAGAAAACAGTTAGCCTATTCACATATACACAAAAGAAATCACACTTTTATTTCCCTGTTGGTGCATGGAGCTTAGTGCTTTCTATATGGTTAGCAATTTGCTTTGTCCAAATAATCTCTAAAATTACTCAGCCCTTAGGAATATCAGCTTCCTCCAATATCTACTTTTGTTCTGCCGTGCCTCTATTTATAAGTTGTGCCAGTCCCAACCTCAGTCTTTCTTAGGTTTCTTTTTCTCTAGGTAAAACTTTCACTCCCTGAATTGAGTTGGCTTTTCTTAATACATGCATCATGCATCTTTTTTTTTTTTCTTTCTTTCTTTCCTTGGTAGTGCTAGAGTTTGAACATCGCACTTGCTAGGCAAGCTCTCTACACCCTTTACCTGTATCTTCCTTTATATTATTACTTTGCAAAATCAGACCTTTAGACTCTTACTTGTGATTCTCATAATAACTTTCCCATGAATCCAGTAACTTCTCCATTCCATTCCGCAGATGACAAATTAATTTCTTTGGGGGGAGACAGGGTCTTGTATGTATTTCAGACTGGCCTGAACTTTCTGTGTAGTCTGCTGCTCTCGAACTTCCTGTAATCCTCCTGCCTCAGCCTCTCAAATGCTGGGATTACAGAAATGCACCACTTTGCCCATATTAACTTTTTTTGTTTTTGTACCAGGGATTGAACTCTGGACCTTGTGCTTGCGAGGAGGCAGGAGAAATCCCCAGCCCCCAGATTATCTTTTTAAAGCACTAATTTCATTGTGTCACTTTCTTGCTCAACTATTTCAAGATTTTCTTTAATTTCTCTCATCAGACATGGAAACTTCTGGGGTTAGACTTGGAGATGTGGGCGCAGCAAGCATGGCCCACTTGATGGCCTCATAGAATCAGATCCTGAGAGAGAGGTGCTGACTCGTTTCCTTGGGGTTTGTCAGATGTGCTGAGCTGGGGAAGACATAAATTGTGACCCAGAAGATTGAACTGGTTAAGGTGACCGACCCTAAAGCGGTTGTACTATTTATTGGTAGGATGAGTTCGAAGAAGAACGTGGGTCATGATAACAAGATTGCATGGGATGAAAGTCAGACCCTAGTTCTAGCGTGCTATTATGTGTGGCCTTTGCTTCCAGGGCTCTTTCCTTTTCTCTTCTAGTACTGGGGATCAAACCCAAGGCCTCATGTCCACCAGACAGATAAAAAGAGTAGCACATATAAAATTTTAAAATTTTGATTATAAAATAGATGCATACTCATTACAGATAAATGTTTTGATGTTTGGGAAGAAAAGGAATGACCTGTATAATGATCAAAATTTTGAAATTTTATTAAAGTTCATAATTAAACTCTAGAAATGCTATTTTTTCCACATATTCTACAGTATTTTCTTTTTCCTTCTTCCTTTTTTTTTTTAATTTTTAAAAATTTTTTTATTTTTGAGACAGGGTCTCACTATGTAGTTGAGACTGACCTGGAACTCACTATGTAGCCCAGGCTGGTCTCGAACTCACAGTGATCCTCCTGCCTCAGCCTCCCCAGTGCTGGGATTACAGGCGTGGGTCATCACACCCAGCTTACAGTATTTTTCTACACATTTAAAAAACAGAAGGTGGTCATGGTGGTGTATCCCTGTAATTCTAGCCATTTGGAGGGTGAGGCAGGAGCATAGCAAGTTCCAGGCCAGCCTGTACTACATAGGAAAACTTTGTTTAAAAAAACAAAACAAAACCAAAAAAACAAACAAAAAACCCCACGAAAACAACAAAAATAATTAGAATTTTATTACAGTTTTTATCCTTTATTACTGCTATATAATGAACATTTAAATATTTTTGAAAAATGAAATTTTAAACTGGGAGTGGTGGCACTCCCCTGTAATTCTACTACTTGGGAGGCTGAGGCAAGAGGATCGCCCTGAGTATGAGGCCAGGTTGGAGTACATAGTGAGTTCACTGTGCCTGAACTACACAGTGAGACCTTGCGTCAAGAGAAAAAGGAAATTTTAATAGCTATATCTGTTCCATCATTTAAACTAAGTGCTACATGGAGTTAAATCATATTAATCAAAGATAGAGTTTAGCGATTTGACAATATGTGAACAGGCCGTTTATTCTCCACTCATCTCTGGCTTCTCACCAGTCGACCTCGCCAAGATCATTTCTTTCCCTCTCTCTCTGACCGTGTCTCTCTTTCATTTGTCAGAGGTAAGTGTACGCGGTTGAATGCCGTAAAGCTGCAGATGCAATACGATGTTTAGGGGCCGGGGATTTAGCTCAGTGGTTCCACCGCCTGCCTGGCTGGACCCGAGTTCAATCTCCGGTACCAAAAAACCAAAAACCACTTTTGGCTACAAAATTCACACGCACAGATATATGGAGTGCTTGTCCCACAGCTTGCAACTCCTAAGCACCTTCACTTGTTACTCTTTCTCTCTGTGCCTCGAGTTATTTTTCAGTTGATGCCGGTTCCAGCCCCCGACTTGCCTTTCTGTGCGTCCCTGCCGTGATGAGTCTGGCTCGTGTGTGATGGTGGGGGACCGGATCAACTTCCCCAGCCCATCCGCCCGCCTGTCACCCTGCATTTGCTCACTCACGTGTCCTGATGGGTTAGAAATGTCAGAGGCAGCTGTGGCTGAGTCCAGCGAAACAGCGAGGCTCCTCTCAGAGCTCCCTGTCGCTTGCTGTCCTCTGGGAGACCCACTGTAAATGTGCCTGAATTGTGGTTTTTGGCAGATTGTTACAATAGAATATTGACTCTCTGATCTGAAGCCAGGCTTGTCTCAGAGATTGTCTGCTCTTCTAAGAGCTAATAATGAGAATTGATCAACAGTGCGGGTAGAGGGTAGAGGTGGAAGGAAGAAACATCTCTGATCACTGTTCAGAGAATACTAAATTCTGAAGCTGTTTGGCAACTCATGTCTATTATTTTGCCTTGTATCTTCCTCATCAGCAGTGAAGCAAGTTTTAATGGACATTGCACAACTGAATGAAGGCAAAATACAGCAAACAAAGCAAATAGAAATGCTGCCCTTTCTTTCTGTGAGTTTCCCTCCCCTCGAATACTTACCACCACCACCATCATCACGTAGGTCAGGTGTAAGCACCATGGAGCCCCTGGGAATTGTGTCATTGTTCAGTGTAATGGAATTTCATTACTGCAGCGGAAGCCTGGGGAGATGGAAGATTGGGTCCTACTTGCCTCTTGGGGGAAGAAAGAGAACTAACTACCATGATGAATTACTGTTATTTCCCACCCCCCAAACAAACATCCAGAGAAAATGCATAGGCGCAGGACAAGGAGAAGGCAGTGGAACTAAGTTCTTTTCTTTCTTTTTTTGATAAATAATCTCCATCTTCTGATAATTTGGTCAACTTTGCTTTATTTGCTACCTCCCACCCCTCCCTTTTGTGTAGGGCTGAGAATCAAACCTAGGGCTTTGTGATGCTAGGCAAGTGATCTCCAGAGCTACATCCAAGCTAGTATTTTTTTTCTTTCTTGTAGTAGGATTGCACCTTCCATGAGCTGAAAGCCCTGTCCTTGTAATTTTTTTTTTTTTTTTTTTTTTTACCTTGAGGCAGAGTCTTACTATGTTGCTTTGGGTGGGCTGAAATTCAAGAGCCTCCTGCCCCAGCCTCTGGGAGTGCTGAGATGACAGGTGTGTGTCACCACACCTGGCTGAATTTTGCTTTGTTTTATTATTAATATTATTTTTTGTTTTTGTTTTTTTGGAACAAGATCTTATTAGGTAGTCTAGGCTGGCCCCAAACTGGCAATCCTCCTGCTTCAGCCTGCTGGGTGCTAGGATCACAGGCATGTACCACCGCACCTAGCTTGCTTTCGTTTAAAGCAGTGTCTCTCTGGGTCGGGGATTTAGCTCAGTGGTTCTGCTACCTGGCTCACAATGCAAAGTCCAGAGTTTGATCCCCAGTACCAAAAAAAAAAAAAAAAAAGCAGTGTCTCTCTGGTCTCTCTGATCTCCGTCCAGCCCTCAAGCTTTGTGAAAGGTGACTACTGTCCTATGTGTCCCACTGCCCACTCCCCAAATTTTGTCTTACCAACAGTTCCCACTTGTTGGGAAGTATTGTATCTTCTGTGTATCACCACTATCCAGAATGTTTCCTTTAGCTTCACCTTCTTTGCAGTAGTTAAACGGAGAAAAGGTTATTTTCTCCCAGATAGAACATTTGAGAGTTGTGGATCGAGTTCTTTTTCACATGGCCCATCTGCATCTCTTTCCTGTTTGCTTCCCATACCCTAAGATGGTAATAGCCTCCAAGATGCTTCTCAGGGGAAAACACTGCCTTGGAGAACTACACCCCCATCCTTTTTGATTTTTTATCTTGAGATGGTACTATTAAGTTGTCCATGTTGGCCTTGAACTTGCACTCTTCCTGCCTCAGCCTCTTGAGTGGCCGTGTGTCTTACTTTTCTTGTTGCTGAGGCAAAATACCTGATGTGCAAAGGTAAGGGAGGAAAGGTTTATGTGGCTCACAGTTTATATAGTTTGCTGGCTTGCCTAGCAAAGTGAGGCTCTGGGTTTGATTCCCAGCCCCCAAAGCAAACAAAAAATACTCCCATTTCCTGGGCTGGGGGTGTAGCCCAGTGGTAAAGCATTGGCTCAGTGTGCATGAGGCCTTGAGTTTCACTCTCAGCACCTCCAACCCCCAAAATAAAAAAATCACTTCCCGTTGACTAATGAAGATGATTGTGGAGCCAATGGCGTTCGTAACAAAGGCCTGGGGGTGTAGCTTGGTGTAGAGCCCTGGCTTCAATCCCTAGCCCTGAAGAGAAAACAAAAACAAAAATAAGCACAAAGCAAAACACACACAAAGTTACAAAGAAGTTGAGTAGTTTTCCAATGGACTCTCTTCACCTATAAAAAATTGGGTTGATAACCTGCTCTATAGCTAACAAAATATACAATGAAGAAAAACATGATTATGTAATTTTTATCATTTTTAAAGAGAAAAGCTATTATAAACATTAGATAGTTTTCAAATATCAAATAAGCTACAGGCAGCAGCAACGTATTAAGGGGAAGCCTCAGAAGTCCATCGTTATTGGCTTGTCAACTGATCTAAGAGCGTGAGGGCAACTTACTGACCTGAAAATCACATTGTACACCAGTGTGAGATACGGCTAATTGACTAATCAGAGTACGAGAGACCCAGGGACTTTCTAGACCAGCTCAGATCAGAGTGGATGTTATTAATAGGGCAGATGGTGAATGGTACTGAAAGGCAGATTTAATTTATTTACTCTTTGTTTCTAGGTTTTGTAATTTTAATTAAAGTGAGTAAAAGTAAAATCTTGTATAAGCAGTTTCTTCTTCCCAGTACGAAAGGTGTTGACGTATCACATCATTGAGTCAGGAAGATAAAGACAAGGAAAGGATTGCAATTTGGTGTGAATTAACATATCACAGGGTTTTCATGTCTGGAGGAGGTGAGGAAACAAACACATGTGTTAATGTGACTCGGACTGCAGAGGGAGGCTGTCAAGGCATGTGGGTTTGCTTGGCCAAATGCGGTTGATTCCAAAATGTAATTTCATTTGATGGATTTTATTATAATTAACATAGGGAGTTGCACCAGCTCAGAACTCTTAGCTTTATTACCTTGGGAGAAGAATTATGAAATGCATGCACTTATAAAGAGAATTCATATTTTGCAGAGGGTTTATAATGCTAATAGGTCTTGGGGACCTTTTGGGATTAAGCCCTCCAGTTTACAGTTAGAGTTTCTGATTTGCAATCTCAAGCATGGTTTTCTTGGAACATTTTTTATCTTAAATGGTATTTGATAGAACTTGGGAGCTCTTCAGAGCAGGGACTTAGATTTGTTGTTGTTACTTGTTGCAAAGCACTACATTTACAGCTAGAGAAAACTGAGCATCACTTTTAATGTGTGTATCTGGCTATTCCGATCTGGAATCATCTCTGACATTTAGCAATTCACAGTGGCATAGCTTACGTGAGTACATTGGTGTGTGTAGTTTTGCTATCTATTTTAATAATTAAGCAAAATCTTTGAGACTTGTATGAAGATAAACAACAGGAAAACCAATTCATGGATTTCTTCCAGACATGGACAGGGACAACTCAATCCCTGAGGTTGTTAGAGCCAGAAGAGAGCTGAGTAGATATGAAAGCTCAAGGTTTAGGCTGGGATCTACCTGCAGGTCTGATACTGTTAAAGCAGTCTGCCCTTTCCAACCTTTCCTTGGGAAACTAATTAGCAGAATAATAAAAAGCCAAGATCAACTCTTGTCTTCCTTGTTGGGGATATAAAAAACAATAGTTCTAATTAGCAATAATTAAAATTTAATTAAGAAGCTCTTTGCAATCCTCCCCCTCCTCCCTCCTCCTACCAGTGCTTGCCAGCCCTTGGTTGTGGAGCTGTTTTTATTCCTGTGGTGCTGAATCACGGCTTAATCACAAAGCCTTCGATCACAGTTTATCCAGCCCTGAGCACTAATCATCACTGCCTTCCAAGAGGGATGAATACAGAGCCCAGATTTTAATAACATGAGCAATTACTTTCTTCAATTTTACAATCATGAATTGTGATTCATTTCCCCTCTTTATCAGTTGATTACAGATGTCATTGCTTTTCCCCTTTTTTAAACTTTATATCTGTTCCCCCGGGACAAAAGGACAATAGGAGACTTCAAAGAATGCTAAATATTTGGATCCAAACTTCAACTTCGATTTTTTTTTTATTGGTACCAGGGATTGAATTTGGGACCTTGTCCTTACAAGGAAGGTGGCGGAAACAATGATCTAAATCCCCAGCCCTCAACATCTATGTTCTAAAGTAATGCAGAAAGTTAATTTAGAATAAAACCACTGGCAAAAATCCAGGTTAAAAATAATATTAAATGATGATTTTAAAATATAGCACGGTATACACAGAGTTAAGGAAAGCAAATATAGTATGTAGTGTTTGTTTCAAAAATTAAATGTTTCAAAGATTAAGTGGGTATTAATTTGAATATAGGATATTTCAAATTGCAAAGGAACTAACTGGCTTGTATATTTTAATATAACAATAATGGTGAATTGTATCTTATATATATTTTATTTCAATAGAAAAAGAAGTTCAAACTCTGACTTTGTCCTAGTTTTTGGCATGTGGATTAATCACATAGTTCATGGGGTGGGGGACTTCCAAGACTTGATAGTTCATTATGAGAAAAAGAAAAAGGAAATAATCAAGAACAGAGATAAATTAGTTTTTTTTAAAGCCACTGGACTAAGAAATATAACCCTGGTTCTTTAATTATTAAGAGAAGGGCTCTGAATCTGCTCCATTATCTTAATTATGTTTCTGGAGCAAACATTATTTCAATGTGATAAAAGATGACATGACACTAAAGGTAAAGCCTGAGCAGATGTTACATGAGTAACAGGCCAATAGGCCCACATTCTGGTAATTTCTTCCCCACTAGACACGTTCTCATTAATCTGTGATTAATAGGATTTGAGTATAGTAAATGATGATGATCCATTGTCTGTCTTTGTCAAGCACTATGGAGGGAGTAATTTGTCAGCTCAGCTTTTGTGTGACTATTTAATAGCAAAGAGGGAGAGATAATCTTCTAATTGGCATCTATAGAGGAGAACTCAGAGAATACTGCCTGTATGGAAATAGCCCAGAGTAATTCCTATGCCTAAGGAAAGGAAATGTGCATTATATGCACCTTTTATGTAATTGAGCCTTTTACACCAAAAAAAAAAAAAAAAAAAGGTGGGGGTGGGGATAAAGAAAAAAATAGCAATTAAACAATCAGGGAAGATCGTAAGGTAACATCTATTAACCTAGTCATGAGGCTTTTTCAACTGTAATGACTTGCTAACAAATGGCAAAAGAAAAAAATTACTTTCAGGAAGAGGGGGAAATGGCTGCTTAGATGGATAAAAAAATACAATATACAAAAGAGAAAGCCACCACCATCATCATCACTTTTAAAAACAACACACAGTGTCCTCATGTTATGATAGTAAAAAGATGAATAAACCAACTAATGAGATACTTGGAGCCCCAAAGTAACTCGATCAGCCTTGTCAAGTCTGTTGTAGAACCTTCTCTAAGTACCTTGGCAGAATGATGTGTGGAATTGCTGTCTCCTGTCTTCCCTTTCTTCCTAGGTTTAAAAACATAAGTTCTTGCAGGTACTCCTCTGTTAGCTAGAAATGAATAGGACAAGATTTCACCGGGAGAAACTATGCATGAAACTGACAAACAGTAAAGCACGGCATGTAAAGTACTACTACTGGTCAAGCTTGGAGAGAGAAAGTAGCAAAGAATAAAAACTGGAAATTGGCAGAAAAGGAAACCTAATGTGAGCAATATTAGGGATAGGTGCTTAGTCTATGTAACTACTAATGAGGAAATTTAAGTGAAAACTATCTGATCCATACTCCTCATACCAGCTAAAAGTTTAAAAAGATTCTCTAGACCAAATGAAGACTTGAACATGAGAGGGAAAAAAATCAATCGTTTTGGAGGGTAATTTGTCAGGATTTGGTAATTCATTATCAATTTGTCAATGTTGTTAGGAAGTCTACTTGAACTATATCCTAAAGAAGCCACGCACAGGTGCACAGAGACATATGGAAGAGTAGACACAGCAGTCTTGTTTCTAATAGTGAAAAACGTGAAACAACCAACATATTCACCAATGATATGTTCATACAATGGAATATTATTCAGCAGCTTTAATAAATGAATGATGGCACCAACCTGTAAGACTTAAAAGCATTAGAGCAAGTAGAAAAATAAAGCAAATTTCAGAAGGATATTGAAAACATGCTATCATTAATATATGACATGCAGAACAGTGCATGCATTTATAGGGATACATACTCACGTGCTGGGACTGTAAAGACAAACATAGGGATGATGTAGCACTAAATCCAAGCCAGTGGTTATCTCTGAGAGAAGGAGGGGAACAGATTTGGGGGGTTTCTGTGGTATTTTTAGTATTTCATTAAAAAATAAAAGTCTGAAATAAGTGAAGTTAGCTGGGCACAGTGGTGGATGCCTGTAGTCCTCGCTACTTGGGACTGAAGTGATAGGGTCACTTGAATCCAGGAATTCAAGGCCAGCCTGGGCAACACAGTGAAACTGTTTAAAAGAAAAAAAAGGAAACTATATAAATAAAGACTTGGTAATGCTGAGAGATCAGTGTTTCCTATTTATTCTCTGTATTTTTTAGATTGTTTTTAAATAGTTAATAACTTTAAAAAGGGAAAAATACATGCACAAGGTAAGAAAAATATGTGGTTTCTAGTTTCCAGGTACTTATACTGTGTCAGGTGAGTTGAGATATGTCCATAAAATACCACGTGTCGATACAGACTGACATATACACCATTTATGGTATGTGACCAGATTCCCTTAGTGTCAAGTGGTGGAAATGAAAAATGTAGTTGACTTTTATTATTTTTATTGGACATAACACTTCAACAACTTTTTATTTATTTTTTTGTTTGTTTGTTTGTTCAGTTTTCTGAGACAGGGTCTCACTGTGTAGTTGAGACTAACCTGGAACTCACTATGTAGCCCAGGCTGGTCTCGAACTCACAGCGATCCTCCTGCCTCAGCCTCCCGAGTGCTGAGATTACAGGTGTGCACCACCACGCCTGGCTCACTTCCATCTCTTTAAACGTTAATCCATTTTGAAAGCTTTCCTATTTTTTATGGTTGACTCAAATACCTCTTCAATTTCGGAACAAAGAGGGGGTAGTAACAGCAGTCATAATTGAAGTACAGTAATTTTGAAGGCATTTATTTGCTTGGCTTTTACGGCAAAAGGATAAAGACTAGATTCTAACTTTTAAGAGCAGCATCCAAGATCACTGGACTTCTTGTCTCTCTAACTATACTGCTTTCATGAAATTTAAGTTACTGTAATTTCTCTGGTCTCAGTTTCTAGATCTGTTAAATCGTGGAAGTGGTTAGATAATTTTTAAAGGTTCATTCCAGTGCTGAAGCTTTATATCTATTTTTTTTCCCTGGAAACACTAACCCCAACTTACATGAGACCAAAACCGATGAGCAAGATTTTCCAAGATTTGTCCCCAAATTAGTGATAAAAGTACATTTTCCACAAAATGTTATAGGTGCTATCAAAAGGCAAAGAAAAACTTTTGTTCATGAAGTTGGAGGAAAACCATTCTTTTTTTTAAGTACGGGGTATCAGACTCGGATGCTTGCACTTTCGAGGCAGGCAGCAGAACCACTGAGCTAAATCCCTGGCCCAAAAACCATTCTTGAAAGGGTTGTGGTTAGATTTGGAGAAGAGCTAGAGATTGGACAGAGAGGAATAAACAGACAGACAGACAGAAGACATTCTTCAAGGAGGATGTGGGAGGGAGAGCCAGAGAGAGATGATAGGTGAATCAGAGTTTTAGATATAAGATCTGCAGATAACTGGTTATTTGTAACAGGAAATTATAGATACCTTCTGAGATAGGTAGAAACACCTGGCCTTATATATTAAATTTCTGAACTTAACAATACGCTGCATGGGGTGACAATTTATGGATCAGGCAATGAGTTGAATGTCTTTGGTCCCACATGCTGAGCTGCAAACACCCGCCCCCCAGTGACTTATCACTTAAGTTATTCTGCTCTGTTCAATAGTAATAATGACTGATAGTAAGTCCTTGATAGTCAACAGTTGTGACCCTTCAGATTGTTCAGTCCTGGCTGAAAATTCTTTTCCTGAACAGCAAGTCAGTAAAAGGTAGAGTCTCCTAGTTGTGTTCTTGCAATTAAAGGTCAACAAATCAGACACTAAGGTGTAAATAGCACTTTCAAAATCTCAGACTCTGCTTTTGTTCTTGACAAACTGAAAAGGAATCTTTCCTCTTCCTATTTCAAAAGCTTTTTTCCTTTTGATTTTTTATGTGTGGTGCTGGCATTGAACCCAAGGCCTCATACATGCTGGGCAAGTGCACTGAGCTGTACCTTTAACCCCACCTTTGCACTTTGGCCAAAAGGGATTACAATGCTAAGAAAACACTGTGTGCTTTTTATGTTTAGTTGGAAAAGGATACTCTTTGTCATCCATGCCTTTCTTGTTTTTTTATTTTTGTCCTTGTCCATATCACTCTACGGAAAATATTCTAAAACTAACTGCTCCTGGCTAAACCTAAGTTTTGGAGAGGTGGAGAGGGAGCTTTTTTTTTTCCTACTTTTTATTTATTTTGAAATAATTATAAATTCACAAGAAATTATGAAAAATAGAAGGAGTCTTATTACCTCTCAACAAGTTTCCCCCAGCTTTAACTTATTATATAAGGCAATATTATCTTAATATCAAAGAAATAAACTTGGGAGTGGTGGCATATGCCTGTAACTCCTGGCTATTTGGGAGGCAGAATTGCAAGCTCAAGGCCAGCCTGGACAACTTATCAAGAATCTTTAAAATTAAAAACAAGAAAAAGGGGCTGGGGATGTAGTTCAGTAGTTTTATCTTCAGTGCCACACACACACGCATACACACACATTGAGATTTCACTGGTTTTATATGCAATTGTGTGTATGTACAGTTCTGTGCAATTCTATCATGTGTAGCTTTGTGTTCCTGCTCTCTAATCAACACATACAATTGTTCCATCATCACAAAGATCTTTTACATTTTCTATGTATAGTAATGCTCACTCCTCCCCTCTCTATGACCCCTCACAACCACTAATATGTTCACCATGCCTGTAATTTTATTGAGAATGTTATATAAATGGTATAATAATATAAATATGTAACCTTTTGAACTTGGCTTTAGTCTTGCTGTATAATTCTCTTTTTATTTTAATTTTTATTAAAACATTTTTTTTTGTAATAGTGTCTCACTATGTAGTCAGCCCAGGCTGGCCTCGAGCTTGCTGTGATCGTCCTGACTCAGCCTCCTGAGTGTTGGATTACAGGTATGGACCACCACGGTGAACCCTCCTTTGGATGTTTACACTGTTACTTAGTTGCCACTTCTCGTTGGCTGGTCTGCTACCTGACAGGTATCTGTGGTTCTCCAAGACTCACATCTGGGTCAGCATAGGCAGCTACTTTCTATGAAGGGTTATGAGCTCTCATAGCTTCCAGGCCGTTTGTGTTTTACAGATCTCCATCTACAGAAAACTGGCTGGATATATGGCACCACTACTTGTGTGTTATGTCAGCAAATAGTTGTTACACTTTTATTTCCATCCAGAGTCCTCTTCACCATTCTGGTTTCCCGTGATCACAATCCAGTCATCACTTTTTTTTTTTTTTTTGGCTTTTTTGAGACAGGGTCTCACTATGTAGTTGAGACTGACCTGGAACTCACTATGTAGCCCAGGCTGGTCTCGAACTCAGTGATCCTCCTGCCTCAGCCTCCTGAGTGCTGGGATTACAGGCATGCACCACTACGCCTGGCTATCCAGTCATCACTTTTAATTCATTCTTTTGCTTAGCCTTTCACATCCATTCACCAGAATCTGAGGTCACTTTTTGGTGAGCATTCAGAGAAACGCAAGTGTCTTTATGTGCTTTGCCCATTTAGATCCACACTTTTCCTTCTCCAGACCTCCTAGTCACCAATTTTTCCAATCATGTTCCTTCCAAGTCCCTAACCAGAGCCAGCCCTTGGTTATAGCCCATGCAATCACATCGACTCGAGTACTAGTTATGTTTGGTTCAAAAGAATAACCCATTATGCTGCTCAACACTCTGCCTTCTTGGAGAATATCCCTTCGCCACAGTCCTTCAGGACACCACTGCAGAACCGTCTGTAATCAGGCCTGATGTCTCAGGGACTCTCATGAGGCCAGAGGTGCTGGCCAAGCAAGAGGAGGCTGTGTAGCAAAAGTGAGCCATGGGAACGTGGGGCCATGTCGTGCCTTTAGGGCCCAATGGCGTGTATACCAATTGCATTTGATGGTGGAATGCTGCTGTACACACTCAGATTTATGGTTTAAAGGTTAGATAGCCCCAATTTATGAGTGACAGCTCAGTTTGGTAGCTTGATGACAGAAAAGACATTGTTCTTGAAGAATTACCATAGACAATGGATTATCATAACTTTAACAGGCGGTGACTCCGGTTGTAGCTGTCATTTCAGATGTGGTTTCCTTGCTCAAGCAATTGAACACTCTGGCAATGGGTACATAGCTATTGACCTGGTAAATGCTTTCTTTTTGATACCTGGTAGATTTTGATGATGTTTTGGATCTCCAAAATAAGTGTTATTTCAGAGTTAGTGTCCAGTAGTCCCTGAAAATTCAATTGATTTCTTTTTGGAGAAGAGTAGGAAAAAGATTAACAGTGTAAGTTTTGGATGGTGTAGCAGGGTCCTTCTTCAAGGGGCTCTCCCCCTTCATTCTGGAATTCTGGGTCTACTTGGTGAGGAAAATGCAGGGATTACGGAAAATAGTATTTCAACCCACGTACATACAATTGTACCTGTGAAGACCAGCACCTGTTGTTATTAAGCAGATGTGTTAGTTTTCTGATTTAATTATTAAACTTGGACTTGTCATTTCATAAAATGATTCAGTAAGTCATAATAATGTTTTAAGCACTTGTGGTATAGGAAGTGCAGATGATATTGTGCTCATGATATTGTCATATTACACAACATTGCTAATACTAGAAAAATAAGTGGTTGCTTATTTATTAACATTTGGAGTATACAGAGCTGCGGTTAGATGTTCAATTTAAAGAAACCACTGATCACGTCCTTTCAGCCTAGACTTTTCTAAGGCCTGTCATTTGGAGAAAGATACTCCTTGTTTCACAATTGCACCTTAGCATGCCATTGGTTTTTAGCAGTGCTTACCTTTGTGAATAACTGTTTTCAAGGGTGAAGAACACAGAGAGTAAGACTGGATAAAATATTTCTGCTGAGCACCTTGCAAACTCCAAATTGCAATCCCCTCCCTCAAGTTACACTTTGATGCATCAGTTTCACAAAACAAGGTCAAATATCCCGTTAGTTTTATATTTTTGCTGCCTTCTTTTTAATGACATACTAGTGTATTTAAAAATAAAGGAAGTTTCTAACTTAGTTATATTACAGGCATAACTTGGTACTTGATTGCTTTGAAGCTTGTTGATTTTGGTACTTGATGAATTTTGACTCA